AAGTTACGGAAAATCAATTAATAAACGGAGACGTAATAGTACCTAACGCCAACTCTTGAATTTCTTGTTTTCTAGAATAATGGGATTTGTCCGTCACTCACGTTATAGCGCAACCACGAACCCAAAGTGCGGATCACGTTTTTAGAGCAACGGAGCACGAATTAAAACCCCTCCGGGCACATTAAAAGCTAAGCCATGTAAGCCTTGAACTTACAAATAAGAAATAACACTAAAACGGGGAGAAACATTCTACATTAAATATAATATTTTCAGGACATTTTATCATTTTATTAAACTAAAAGCTTTAGAATCCTTAGTGAGTCTAGCGTGGCTCAGTGTTTAGCGTGTCGGATTATGAATCTATGAGTCCATCATTCGCGTCCTGTTACCGAAAAGAGAGAGAGATAAGAGAAAGACATAGAATAAATTGGCAGTCCGCACTTTGAGTGTATTATACGGGTAAAGGTCGAATCTCACTATACGGTCAAACAAGAAAATCACGCTCCGCACTTTGAGGCCGTGGGTAATTTGAAAGAGTGACGGTCAAATCCTGTTATTTGGTTTCATAATAGTATTCCAAGAATTAGCGGTAGGTGGTGTTGACTAGCTGCCTTCCCACATGTCCATCACTTCAAAATTAGGGTCAGATAGGGTAGGTAACCTTCATGTAGCTTTGTAATAAATACAACAAACAAGCAAGCGTTTTTATACATGTTCAAAAAAGCATTTATTTCAAAGGATTGTTAATTTTGACCGATATTGATTTTTTAAAAGCTAATTTATTGAAGATAAGCTCTAGTGTTAGAATCTTAGGTCTTAAAGCTAAGCTCTGTTTATTAGGATTTAGTTATTACTGAGCCAAATAATAGATTCGCTACTAGTACTAGGCTAATTGTTTATTGTTAAAAAAGAAGCTATACAATAGGTTATCTGTGATCTGCCAACTGCGGTTATCGAACTTCGATTTTTAGCACAATAAGAGCCCAGACTTACCATTGAGCCATCGTGCGGCTTCTAGGCTAAGATGAGATTTTCATTGCTTTTTCTCACGTTACAAACATAAATGATGAAAATAACAACAACAAAAAAAAACCTTGGACGATTAACGTAAAAATAACACAACGCAATGCAACATAGCATATTTTGTAATAAATGTTTTGTTTAAATGAAGTTAATTTTTGTTTGCTATTTCTCGAGCCTCTAATAATATCGGGAGTATATCAAGAAAAATGCAACTTAATGCACTCTATCGGCTGAAAAAACAATGGGTGAAATGGGTTGTGATTACAAAAACGATAAAAAAGAAAAGAAAATTACATTTAACTGAAGTAACGGTGATTTATGGTATAGAATATAAATGACATAACTGAATGAAAATATAGCCACCTTATAATTTCATTAGCTAGTCCGAGTAAGCTTTGAATACATGAAACCTGAAAATATACTTATAAGCGTTCATGTATTAGAACCAGTGAATATTAATAAACAAAATTAGGTGGTAATACAAAAAAATGACCAAAAAATCATGGACAAAAGCAAAGAATTATACCGATATTCTGTCACTCTATAGAAACGTCATACCAATATAAACTAGACAATGAAAACCGAGTTCTAGACCTCAACTGTGATTATTTATTTTTATAAGTTACAGCTTTTACACTACGAAAGACAATTCTTGAACAGGTAAGACATTTCAATTGCTGGTGCTATCAATCTCAAATACACAGGTTTTAACAGTAAAGAAGGATTTTATATTTCAATCAACATTCAAAAATATAATGTATTTGAATTACAATCGATACTGGTTATTTGTGCATGTGCACATCAATACGCGTGAATTAACAGATTATACTGTTGCGTCAGCGAGGTCACGTGACTAGTGTCACGCCACGTTTTCTAGAAATATCCTGTTCCTTCGTGAATGCCCTAGCATTTACTAGATTGGGGATAGTCTGGTATATATATAAGATGGTCACAACGTGACGGGAACAGTATAATGAGTAATTGAATGTATGCGGACAAAATATTGTTGGCTACGTGAGATATAGCGTTTGTTATAGCGCGACTGTTGAAATTAAGTGTATCGTAAAGTTGTATTCGAAAAGAATAAACCAGTTTTATTAAGAAAGGACTTGTGTCGCTAAAGTTTCGTCGGAACGAAGTTACGGAAAATCAACTAACGACTAGAGGCGTAACAATACATTTATAGCTG